TTTTTGCCCAAATTCGTTGATTGGAAAATGTTGAGCCAAGATGCTACATGGAAACTTTTGTTTATTTTTTATAAATTATGAAACTAATATATATATATATATATATATATATATATATATATATATATATATATATATATGATATTTTCTTGAATTTCTCCGGTTTTTTTTCATAGTTGAGAGAATCCTTTATGATTGTGAAACTAGCCTGGTTTGGCTTAGGTAGCCATTTCAGGTTTTGATCCGGACTCAGTTCGGTTTTTTTATGATGGGTAAAAAAAAATCGGTTTTTCAAAGAAATTTTCGTTTTTTTGTTATTTTTTATGCGATTCGGATTCAATTTTTTTGATATAAAAAAATTATAACCGTTCGGTTGTTATGTTGGATTCGGTTCGATTGTAATTATATCTTATTCGGTTTAATAACTAAATGGCAATCCCTAATTAGGCTAACCATTCATTTAAGCCAAAGAATCTGAGTTCAGAGTGTGAAATTAATTGGCAGTAGTTTTGTGAAATGATGGATTCAATGGCATCTTTCTCGATTAGGGTTTCTAAATGTCGTACCAAAGTGTTGGTCGGACAAAAACGGTATTTTGCCCATTTGTGGAAAACAGTGTTGCCCCTCGGGAACTCCAAATCATTTACTAATCTGTTGAAAGCCGGTAAGCATCATAATCTCTCTGTAATTAATATCAAAGAGTGTTGATGGCCCGTAACCCCCTTTACTCTTAATTCTTGTTTTAGGAAATACTTAATTAATATTTGCACATTTATTTATAATTGAAGCCCTCTCCTCCAAGTCCAACCAACTATGGGAATATTCCATTAAAACCGTACAAAGAAGACCCGTCAGATTACGGGCCTCTTATACACATCGTACTATATATATAAAACCTTACGTTAATTTCGAATTCCTAACTTTGTAACAAAATTCAATTCGCACCAATAGAATCAAGTGGGCATATTCGCGAATTGGGAAAATCTTATGATACATCACATCGATCCACGTACCTGTTTTTTTTTTTTGACATATTGCTGCCATGCATGCAGGTAGTAAATACATCAAAGAATCTCTATAAATACTTGTTTATAAATAAATTTGCCAAGAGAGGAAAAACAGGCCACTGAATTGAAAATTGATTTTATTTTTCTTAGAAAAGATAAATGTAAAAAATTTAGTTTTTTTTTTGGATAAAAATAAGAGCAGACGTACAAGTTAACATCCACCGACCAGTTTCAATTTCACCATGAAACCCAAAAAAATTCATATGCTATTTTTTCTTGTGGATAATCGGTTATCTTGGATCAAGGATTAAGACTAATCTCAAGATCGGGAGTCAACCATATAATTTAGATTATAAGCTCTCTACCCAAATTTAAAGTTTGAACTCGGACAAAACATAAGCTTTGAATTCCGTTTCACCGGTTAACCCACCCAAATTTGGGTCCAATGGTAAAATTTAGATGACATAGCACTGCTAGGGTGTAAGAGTTTCTCACGCCATTTACGGCAAAATCCTCTGTAACAAAAAACCAAACAGAAGTCATAAAAGAAAACAAGAGCATCATAAATATTGGACCTTTAAAAAGAAAAGAGAAGAAGCTAATCTTTGACAAAGATGTGGAACTAAGCTGAGATTTGTCAAAAAGAGTCACTATGGGTGAGTGGTGCTTTCTGGTTTTAAGGAAAGATTGAACAAGAAACCCAACAAGTTTAATGCATTTTGTCTCCATGCAAGTAAATTCGCCTGTGCCATGAAATAGCCATCAACATCTCAGAGTTATTGCCCACAAGCCAATACTCACACACTTTCTGCTATATAATGACACTATATCTCACTCCAATCTCTCTCTCTCCCTCTCTCTCTCTCTCTCTCTCTCTCTCTCATCTCCTACATGGAACCCAATGACCGTCCCTCTCATTGTTTCAACCTTATGGAAGGAAACCCATCTCAGAACAATCACTTCAACTCACTGTTCCTACCAACAAACACTGAGTCCCATGTTCAGTTGCACTCAGTGTCCCCAAACACATCGACCCTCAGCAATAACCTCTCTAATTTAGATCAAACTCGAGATACCATCTACCATCATGGGCATCATCATCACCAACAACACAGCATGATAGATGAAAAGAGGATAAGAAGAATGGTCTCTAACCGGGAATCAGCCAGAAGGTCACGTATGCGCAAGAAGAAGCAGATCGAAGAGCTGCAGCTCCAGGTTGAGCAGCTCATGACATTGAACCATCACTTGTCCGAGAAGGTCATCAGTTTGCTCGAGAGCAACCACCAGGTCCTGCAAGAGAACGCACAGCTCAAAGAGAAAGTCTCTTCCTTTCACATCCTAATGGCAGACATGCTATTACCCGTGAGAAATCTGGACGACACCAATAGCCGAGAGACAGATCATATAAGAGCCGAACCTTCAAACAGGTCCAACAACCCTCGGGCCACATAACTCGGTAAGTAAAAAGTTCAAATTGGCCTAGAGGGCATCAGTATGTAGCACTAGTATAGACGATTTGTTACCCATTGTCACCATACATGTAACCACTACACCGGAGGTTACTTGTATATAACAGCTATTATTCAGCAGGCCCCCTCCTTACATATGTGGCTGCTACATGCATACAAATACTATAGGTTTCATCAGCTCCTACTGGTTTTAGCATCTGTAATTTAGAGAGAACTGCATCGAGTTCTTGGTGTAAGAAGCAAAATAATTAAGCAGGCAGAGCCGGAACTCTTTCTTTCTGTAACATTGAAAATTTACAATGTCTTTCTCCTCTTCTCTAACGCAAAGTAGAAGAAGGAAGCCTACTCAACAGTTCTTCCCTGACTGAACAAATCCATTGGAGATTTCACTAGGGTTTTTCTCCGAGAAAGCTGAGCCTTTGTTGTTCTGTTCATGAAAGAACTGCGTCGGTTGCGCATATGACCGCGTACAAGGCCACCTACAAAATTTTAGCCAAAACAGGGACAAACCCATGATCACATTCCACAACACAAACGAGAACCAGAAGAATCACAAGCTAAACACTATCAACACATCATCTGCTACTATAAATCTAATATTACCTGCTAGACATAATGGTCTCACCACCAATCATCGTTTTCTCCTCGAAGATGTTCCCTGAGCCACAACATTCAGAAGAAGAACTTCCTAAACTTCAATTCAGACCGAACAAAACGTGCAAGAACAACAATGGAAGATGGAAGCAACCTCCGTAGATATTCTTCCCGGAGAAGTATTTGGCCAATAGCATCTGAGTGTATTCCGATTCATACTTCCGGTACTTCTCAGCATACTCCTTGCCATCTAGAACACTAAACAAAACGCAAAAAGGGAAAAAAAAAAGCGCATAACTTTGCGTTCGTGATATGGGTTTCAGGGCCACTTAGTCGGGATTCCGAAGATAATTCGCAGCAAAAGCAGACGAAACAGAAACCTGGATGAGAAATTACTCGAAATGAGGTAAATTGGGAATTTCGTCCGGTAATCGGTCTGCTACTCCATTGTTGCTCCGTAGCTCGGTCTGAAAAGGAAAAACTCGTGCATCTTGCTCAGCAAATGTGAGTAGACAGCAGAGAGAGAGGGAGGGAACCATGGTCAGCGACGGGGAGGCGAGTGCGGCGGCAAGGTTGTCGGAGGAAGGAAGAAGCGGCAGCAATGGCGGATTTTCCGACAACTGGATGGCGGCGGAGTTGCTGTACGTTGGCGGAGGCGGCACTGTGGGGTCGCTTGTCATCCTGTGCTCTTCGAGCGAATTTGGACCTTAGGTGGGCAGACACTTGGGTACCGGGCCACTTATCGGCCGTATGTGCGTTTACACTTTCCTTTATTGGGCCTATTACGGGCCGCAAGAGAGGTCCTGAGCCGTTATTGGTCTTCGTAGTACTTTAAATAGGCCGTCCATGAATAATATGCATTACGTGGGCCTACACTTACCGGCCCACTTAACGGGCCATATGGGGTCTCAGATGGATTATTTGGGCCTCATGCGGGCTACACTTGTGTACCGAGCCGCTTAATGGACCAAATGTGGGTGTACCCAATAACGGGCTGATCATATGAGATATAGCATCATTACGAAGATTCCAGCCTTATTAATGGGCCTTCAATACTCTGGCCCAAAAAGATCAGATCCGCATTTGAAAGCCCATTTTATCTGAGGCATATGTTTTTTTTCCTTTTAAACCCCGAGGGCCGAGGGCTCTATAAGTAAAAAAAACCCTAGCGTCTGTGAAGCACAAAGCGCAAAAACCCTAGCTGCTTCTTCTTCTTCTCCGCCGTTTTAGCAGTGACTGGAGATTCCCCCTGAGCGAAGGGCGGGAATCGATGCAGCAAAAAGAGTAGGGGTCGGAGGTTATTTATCCGTCTATCATCGCCAAGCCCCTTGCTGGGAAGAAGCTCCAAAATCGAACCCTCGAGCTCATTTAAAAAGGTTTGGCTCCCTTACACGCATCTGTATGGATCTTGTGTCGTTTACTGTTGGGATGTTTGAGCTTCCTCCATTTCTCTTCTTCCTGGCTTTTTGGCTTCCGTTTTTGAGAAGTGTCCGTTGATTTTCATGGTTTTTTCAATATTTGTCTCGTTTCTATGTAGATCTGGTTTTAAGACCCATGATATTTTTCGTACTGCTCACTCTTAACCTGGTCATATGGATTATCAGATTAACCCTGAATTGGTATTATCTTTGTGTTACGATTCTATTTTCATTTGCAGCTTTATGGGCTGGAAGAATATTAGCTAATGTTGCCTTCGCGCCAATGCAGTGCAATGGTGTGTCTTTTTTTTTGTTTTCTTGGGATGTGTATTCATTTCGTACTTGTGTTATGAACTTCGGAAGCCACTGGACAGAAATGCTTTAAGACTCACGGACACTATGGGTTAGCTTTGAGTCTAAATTAGACCGTCCGCTGTCCTTTGTACATTGGTTTTCGTTTATGTTTGCAATATCTGTGTACAATAAGCCGATGCTCTGGAGCAAAACGAATGAAGGTAGCATGGTTATGTGCACGGAAATCAAGTTGCATTGGGTCAACATGTCTGCCCCCTCTGAGTTCTTTCTTGGTTCTTTGATTAGGGGGCCTGGTTCAGACCCACATTTCTCTTTTTGTGTTGTTGTATAGTTGGAAAGATTATTCTTTTCTTTTGTGGGCGCTGTAACTTTTGAAAATCCAGCAAACCTTTGGTTTCTTACCATTCGTGTTTGTGAGATCTGTGTACAATAAGCCGATGCTCTGGAAGAAAATGAATGAAGGTAGCATGGTTATGTGCACGGAAATCAAGTTGCATTGGGTCAACATGTCTGCCCCCTCTGAGTTCTTTCTTGGTTCTTTGATTAGGGGGCCTGGTTCAGACCCACATTTCTCTTTTTGTGTTGTTGTATAGTTGGAAAGATTATTCTTTTCTTTTGTGGGCGCTGTAACTTTTGAAAATCCAGCAAACCTTTGGTTTCTTACCATTCGTGTTTGTGAGATCTGTGTACAATAAGCCGATGCTCTGGAAGAAAATGAATGAAGGTAGCATGGTTATGTGCACGGAAATCAAGTTGCATTGGGTCAACATGTCTGCCCCCTTTGAGTCCTCTCTTGGTTCTTTGATTTGGGGGCCTGGTTTAAACCCACATTCTCTTTCTTTTTTTTACATAGTTTGAAAGGTTACTCTTTTCTTTCATGGTCACTGTTTCTTTCGAAAATCGAAATTATTTTGGGTTTCCTATCAAAATATTTGATTTGTTGTTTTTGTCTTGAATATCGTATCTTCTTTTCATGATGTTGCTGGTTGTTTTTGTTCATTAGAACTGTGCCAATGCTCTGGTTTGAAAGTCCTATGGTTTATATATGCTTATATCTGTTTGATGGTATGAGATCTGTGTACAATAAGCCGATGCTCTGGAAGAAAATGAATGAAGGTAGCATGGTTATGTGCACGGAAATTGAGTTCCATTGGGTCAACATGTCTGCCCCCTTTGAGTCCTCTCTTGGTTCTTTGATTTGGGGGCCTGGTTTAAACCCACATTCTCTTTCTTTTTTTTACATAGTTTGAAAGGTTACTCTTTTCTTTCATGGTCACTGTTTCTTTCGAAAATCGAAATTATTTTGGGTTTCCTATCAAAATATTTGATTTGTTGTTTTTGTCTTGAATATCGTATCTTCTTTTCATGATGTTGCTGGTTGTTTTTGTTCATTAGAACTGTGCCAATGCTCTGGTTTGAAAGTCCTATGGTTTATATATGCTTATATCTGTTTGATGGTATGAGATCTGTGTACAATAAGCCGATGCTCTGGAAGAAAACGAATGAAGGTAGCATGGTTATGTGCACGGAAATGAAGTTGCATTGGGTCAGCATGTCTGCCCCCTCTGAGCTCCTTTGATTAGGGGGCCTGGTTTAGACCCACACTTGCTCTTCTTCCAATCTTAAATAAGGATGAGGCTGATGTTCCTTTGGTATATATATATATATGCATTCGTCCAAAGAAGCAAGTGGTGATGGTTTTTGGCATAGATTGACACCTGGTTATGGTTAACCGGATTCCTTATCCTTGAACTTGTTCCGGTTTAGGTGGTCGCAGTCAAGGGAGCATTGTCTCCGCCGCCGGAACTGACAACCGTCCGACCACTGAGCGGATGTCCCCCACGCCCCGCCGCAAGCTCAAGACCGAAACAGCTGTTTGAAGTCTTTAGTGGATTCTGTACAAAAAGTTTGTTGTACTCGCACTTGCCCGTTGTTGATTACGGTCATTCACAGTCACACGTAATAAACTAAGACAAACTAATGTAGTAAAAATAATTAATGTAATTAAATGAAGAAAAAAGCCTATTTTAAATGTGACACGATGCATTATTTAGACGTTACACAGGCTTGAATTATTCTGGTAATGTAAATTGTTAATCCTAATTAGTTAGCGTATCTAGTAAACAAAATAAACATGAATTGTATTCTTATAGTGATTTCTTTGGCGAGTAATCGTATTATTTTCTCATTACCAATAAAAATTTAATTAATTAATTAATCGCAGTGTGAAATGCTGTCTCGTATTCGTAGTTCGTACAGTAGATGACATGAATGCTTCGTCTCCAAATTTCTCCGCTTCCATAATATATTTTAACACAGGAGAAGCTGCTCAAGGAGAAACCCCGAGATCTGGAGATGCGTTTCTAAGGGATCCGCCTATTGGGGTCTCAACATCAAGAAATTCCGATCGATCTCCAGAGATTGTGAGAAGAGATTCTTGAGCAATGGGTTGTACGTTTTCCGGGTTGAACGCGCTCTACGACGCCGTCAATGGTGGAGGAGACGTTTGGATCAATGAGAACCGGTTCAGGATCGTTCGTCAGCTCGGAGAAGGGGGTTTCGCCTTCGTCTATTTGGTGAAGGAGACCGTCACCGACGCTTCCGCCGCCGCGTCCGGCGGTGGTATGGCGAAGAAAGTCAAGGACCCGGCCCATCTCTCCGGTCAGTTGCGAAATCGGGCTTTTTTCTCTTGCTTGGACGCTGATTGGTCTAGTTTCTTGTTCTGGGTTTTCCGATTTTGAATCTGAAACTGCTGGTCGTGTTCGGATATAGTTCAGATTCGTGCAATCTGTGGAAGAGAGATTGTGTCGTCGAATTTCGATGATCAGTGGATCTTCTTCTGTTTAGTTCGAATGCGACTTAAACACCTCTTGTTGCATGTTAGGCTTTTCCTGTTCGGCTTTGACCCTCATGTTGGTTGGATTCTTCTTTAGCTGATTATGGTGTTCTTGCGCTGTATAGCGCCAGAGTTATGGGTTCATTCAATCATATGCTTGAAAGTTTAGTGAAATTATTTGTCAAGAGGCAATCATGTTATTACATTGTTGAGGAATTGATCGAGCATTGTTGATTCGGTACTGATGATATGCAAATGGAGATTATCATCACCGACCTCTTGCCCTGCATATCTTTTCATGCTCTCTCTCTCTCTCTCTCTCTCTATGGATATAGTAAGAACAGGTGATTCACCTAAAATATTCTCTTCATTTACTGTGTAGCTGACGGGACTTATGCCATGAAGAAAGTCCTCATCCAGAACAAGGAGCAACTGGAATTGGTGCGGGAAGAGATCCGTGTTTCATCGCTGTTCAGCCACCCTAATCTGCTTCCACTCCTTGATCACGCCATTATTTCAGTTAAGGTAGTGAAGTTTTGTTCAGATCTTCAAACAGATTTTATAAGATTCGTACTCGGGGGGAACTAAGTTTCATGGTTTATAGTAGATGCTTTCTGTATTGCATCTTCTGGTCAATATGATCTCTGAAGTTATATCCTGTATAGTTCAGTTTAGTAAGGACCCTTGTATTCAATTGGCCAGGACGGACAAGAAGGAACTTGGAAACACGAAGCCTTCTTGCTATTTCCTGTCCACCTTGACGGAACCTTGCTCGATAATTTTACGGCAATGAAGGCTAAAAAAGAATCGTTTTCTACAACCGATGTTTTGCAAATATTTCGGCAGGTGATTAAACTTCCTCTTGTTCCTCCATCTTTGATATGATATGATCTTAGCTTCTAGATTCTAGCATGGGTTAGTGAAAACTATCTTCTTCTTCTGGAACTATGGCTACATGTTGTTCATTTGTGCCTGTAAATTCATTATTTGGTAAGTTAAACAGACTTGATTTATCGCAGCTTTGTGATGGACTGAAGCATATGCACTCGATGGACCCACCATATGCTCACAATGATGTCAAACCTGGGAACGTTCTTTTAACGCATAGAAAGGGACAGCCTCCTCTTGCAATTTTGATGGACTTTGGGAGTGCTCGTCCTGCAAGGAAGCAAATCCGCTCCCGTCAAGAGGCATTGCAGCTGCAGGTTCTTATATCCTTGTATCGTTTTTAATCCGCTCACATGTTTCTAACATAGCCCACCTCATATCACTCATTGACATGAGTTTTGTATAAAAGAAATTCAATTTCTTTCTTTGAGTGGCCATGAAGTTGATCACAGAAAGAATGATGATAAACTTGTAAGTGCATATGGCTAGTAAAGCTTCTCTTGCCTCTTTTGAATTATAACTCGTTTCCTCAATTGAGATTAGTGGCATTGGGTTTCATTCTACATAACTATATGCATGGATGTTCATGCATACCTCTTGGGGGGATTCGTCTTGATTTTGCAGGAGTGGGCATCTGAGCACTGTTCAGCGCCTTTCCGAGCTCCCGAGCTGTGGGATTGCCCTAGCCATGCTGATGTTGACGAGAGAACGGATATCTGGTCACTTGGCTGCACCCTCTATGCCATAATGTAAGCGGCAACTTTCATTTCCAATCCGTTTCCCTGAAAATAAGGGACTCATCCTCTTCTACAGGTACGGAGTGTCTCCTTTCGAATATGCGCTTGGAGAATCAGGGGGAAGCCTTCAACTTGCGATAGTGAACGCCCAAATAAAGTGGCCGACCGGACCAAAGGCGTCTTCTTGTCCGTACCCAGAAGCCCTTCACCAGTTCGTGACTTGGATGCTTCAGCCTCAGCCCGCTGTCAGGCCGCGGATCGATGACATCATCATCCACGTCGACAAGTTGATCTCCAAGTTCACCCAGTAAGTTTACAGAGGTAAACCCGAAACAAAAAGTATAGGATATGTATTTTATATATACATTGGACTCTCTTGTTGGTGTGAAAAAAAAAAAAAGACTTTTTGAGATTAGATATGGCTGCTCTTGTTATATGTTTTTAGTTTAATTCAATGGTTTGTGACGTCACAGGTAGGTAGGGCCCTCTTTTCACTTTCGAGAAACACAATAAGATATGTCTCTTGTGCGAGAAGTTTTGTAAAATCCCGTTTTATGATGTCTGATGAGTTCCTGCCATATAGTTATGAACACTTGTGTGTAATATATATATATATATATATATGTATGTATATGCATTACATGACTCATAAAGTTTGCAAAAGGGACAAACTTGAAGATCATGAAACGAGATGCCCTTTACAGACAATACATGCATGCATGCATACATACATACGAAAGGAGCGATTGTCATTTATTTATTTGCCAACTAAAACCAAAAATATTTATCACAGTGAAACAGTGAGAGAACATTTAATAAGCTTTTTACCAAAAAGAATTTGATAACCAATCACATATATTAATTTATGTTATTATATTTAGGAATTTAATGCCCGAATACCAAAAAGGGCCAGAAATGTTTTGCCTTTTGAGGGGGGCAGCGAATTAAAGAGAGAGCACAAAGCTCCCCTTCCTCCCACATAATAGACATACGCTATTCTACCCTCTATTTATTTATTGTTATCTTACACATTTTTCTGCATGGGTTTTCTTCCCTCCACGTTTAAACTTGTTCGTCTCATTTAAATTCTAAAACATAAAAATATTTAACACCAAAATTTTCTTTGCTTTTTGTTACCAACACAAAAGCAATTATTTATTTTCCTTAATAATAAAAACCATAAACCGAAGGAAAAAAGACCTATGAATTTCTATTTTTATGTAATTATGTTTATTTTTTTTTCCCATAAAGCATATCTCGCCTTCGGTTATGACTATTAAAATAGCAATTAAGATGGTCTAATAATAATAATAATAATAATATTATTATTATTATTATTTCAATCACTTGTGATCATAATAATTTATGAATTATGATAGTTTCCCCAGAATTAATAAATGATAAATGGGGTAAAGAAAGGGAAAAAAAACTATATCAAAGTCAAATTTACAAAAAAAGGGGGTAAATATCTCAATAGGTGACATAGGGTTCGTAAATATATCTGAATAAGAAGTATAGATAGCATTTAATATGATACGCCACTTCTGAGGGAATAGAGAGATCTCTCTCTCTCTCTCTCTCTCTCTCTCTCTTCCTCTTTTTGAGGGGGGCAGCGAATTAAAGAGAGAGCACAAAGCTCCCCTTCCTCCCACATAATAGACATACGCTATTCTACCCTCTATTTATTTATTGTTATCTTACACATTTTTCTGCATGGGTTTTCTTCCCTCCACGTTTAAACTTGTTCGTCTCATTTAAATTCTAAAACATAAAAATATTTAACACCAAAATTTTCTTTGCTTTTTGTTACCAACACAAAAGCAATTATTTATTTTCCTTAATAATAAAAACCATAAACCGAAGGAAAAAAGACCTATGAATTTCTATTTTTATGTAATTATGTTTATTTTTTTTTCCCATAAAGCATATCTCGCCTTCGGTTATGACTATTAAAATAGCAATTAAGATGGTCTAATAATAATAATAATAATAATATTATTATTATTATTATTTCAATCACTTGTGATCATAATAATTTATGAATTATGATAGTTTCCCCAGAATTAATAAATGATAAATGGGGTAAAGAAAGGGAAAAAAAACTATATCAAAGTCAAATTTACAAAAAAAGGGGGTAAATATCTCAATAGGTGACATAGGGTTCGTAAATATATCTGAATAAGAAGTATAGATAGCATTTAATATGATACGCCACTTCTGAGGGAATAGAGAGATCTCTCTCTCTCTCTCTCTCTCTCTCTCTCTCTCTCTCTCTCTCTCTCTCTCTCTCTCTCTCTCCTTCACATCTTGTAGCTGTATTCTCTCTGTTCTCAAATGTCAACACAATTTATGAGCCCTTTTCCCTATTATTTTCTTATTAAAATTATCTTCTTTTACATTAACCATATTTCTCAACACAGCTTTTTACATTTTACATATTTATATTTATATATATTTAATAGTATTTTGTTTATTTTTCTCTTTTGTTTTTCATCTCTGTTTGAGGTGAAAAAGTAAATTATTGGATGGGTATGTTTGCTTCCCTTCAGGTGTTTTAACGCATCCTCCCATCCCATGTGTATATGTAATTGTGTGTGTGTGTGTATATATATTCCACCCAAACTCATCACTTAACCCTTTTCAACCAAAAAAAAAAAAAAAGCAGCAGCCTCAATTCGAAATAGTTTCCACAATAAAATTAAATTCGTTTTACCCATTAAGTTTTTTTTTTTGAAAAGCTAAAAAATCCTTTTTTTTTTTTGCAAGTTAACATTTTATTTATTTATTTTTGTGGTATTTGATCCGTAAACACAGTGCACCACTACTATATAGTCTCCGCCTCTCTCATTCCGTCCATACAAAACACAGAAGCTTAAATACATATCCTGGATTCCTCGTTGTTCTTGTTTTAGTTCAGGTTTTCTTGTTCTTTCTTTCTTTCTTTTTTTTTTTTTTTTAAAAAAGGTGTTTACATTGATTAGAAATAGAGCAGAGATTTACAGAAACAAAAGTGTTTTTTTTTTCCGGGTGTTTCTTGTTGTTTATGATCTTGTCCTTGATCGGACACGGCCAAATATACGAAGGCGTTTGCGACGATGGAGCCGGAAAAAGCAATTGGATCCGAGGAGGAATGTCGCAGCTGTGAGTCAGGATGGACAATGTACCTCGTCTCCCCCTCGCATGACCATCACGATGATCATGGTCACGATGGTGATGCCCATCATCGAGAAGACGACAGCGACGGTGACTCAATGGCGTCCGATGCGTCTTCTGGTCCCGTGGAAGCCACTTGTCGTCTTAGCCGGACAGAGGAGGGGCTCAACTGCAACTACGGTTTGTGCTTAACCAAGAGAACCGGAAAACCGGTTATGAAGAAGACGACGACGAATACAAAGGAAGGGAAGGAAGAGAGGGTTTTGACGGAAACTAGGGTTCCAACGATTGCTCATGATGATGATGATGATTCAAGTGAGGTTCATAGTTATGTCGGTTCCATTTAACCAGAGGGTTTGGTTCGGTCGATATTTATTAAGGTACTTGATGATGTACGGAAGTTGTTTGTGGTGTCCTTTCTATCTACTTTTATTAAATAATCAAAATGGCGCCTTTCCATCTGTGTTACAACAATAGTACATGATAACGAAATTCTTTGAATAATTATCAACTATTTAAACCACTTTTACATATAAAAAGGGCATATACCAATTGGGTTTTATTTATAATAATAATAAAAAAACATCAGTTGGTGATTCTGATTATTTACGTGTCCGGGGGAAAGACGACATTCATCAATTAAGCAAATAAATCCTAATGACACCGAAACTCAAAGTCTTTTGGTCTTGCATTGTTTCGTTAAACACAAAGTGAGCATTTGACAAGGCTGAAAGGAAAGGCCAAACTTACTTGAGGAAAGTGCAAGCGACAAACATGAAGGCATAAGCGACGAGTGAAGTGAGGAGCTCGAGGGTCCATGTCGGATGTATCAGAAATGTCGGAATCATCGGGATTAAGATCGAACCGCATATCCACCCTCCCGCTAATCCTCCGATCCTTCATTTCATTTCCAATACCACAGCATTTGCCATTTTACTATTTTGTCTCACACAAATCAGTCTTCTGTTTAGTTAAAAAAAAAAAAGACAGAGCCTTTTACCCGATTATGAATGCTCTGCCCAAGCTCTTTGTCTTCTCGTTCAGGAAATATATGCACGCAGCCAATGATACCGCCACCTGAAAAAATACAACACCCCTTTCAAGCAAATAACCTCCTTACACTATACAATAAGGAAGAAATTCAATACAAGGAGAGGCTTGGGGGGGGGGGGG